GCGGGGCGAGGCGGGGACGCGCTTGCGGGTTGGGAAGGCGGGGGCGCGGCGGTGGCGGGAGCGTCCCTGGTTTCCGCCCCTGTTTCCCACTCTCCTTCCACCTCCGACCCGCCGGGGCTGTGGACAGGCTCCGCTGGCCCGTCCCCCGGAGCCGCCCCGCTGCTGCCGCTTCCTCCCTCCGCTCGCCGTGAGCCCGGCAGTCTCCGCACTGTGCGCTCCCCCGTCTGGCCATGGATGGGTAAGTGCTCGGCGGTGCGGCGGTCGTGCGGGGCTGCGCTTGTCCCGCTTCCTTTCGGCTCAGGTCCGGACGCGCCGAGGCCGGGGAGCTGGGTGCGGCACCGGCGGTCGGAGGAGCGGCCCCGGCCGAGCCCGACGGCCGGGCTTCCGGGCGCCTCCTAGGGGAGCTCGGATTGCGGAGGGGCGGTCCGCCACCGCCTCGCCTTCCCCCCCCGTGGGGCGCCCCCGTAACATCCGCCCCTCACACCGGGAAGTGGAGGAGAGCCCGGTGGAGCCGCCCGGGGGTTGGGGGCTGGCCTCCGCGCCGAGGGTCGGGGAGCCCTGCCCGGCCTCTCGACACTTCCTCTCTGAAAATGGTGCGCGGCGCTGGGGGAGGCGGAGGCGGCGCTCGGGGCGGGCGTCCTCCCGCTTGGGGAGTTGCTGTTTACCGGCGAGGTGGGGCGAGCGCCGGAGCTGCCCCTGGCGGGGAGGCGAGCGGCCGCGGGGAGGCGGACGGCGAAGTGCACGCGTCGGTACACGTCTGGGCGGCGACCCGCTGCCGGAGCCAGGGCCCCACGCGGGTTTCGGCGTGCGGGGGCACCGGCCGAGGTCCCCGGGCTTGTGCCGGGAGCTGAGTTAACGATCGCTGTACACCAGGCGTTTGGAGAACCGTGGCCGCCTCCCCCCGCCCCCAGGAAACTTCGTGAATCCCCCTGCCATGTATGCAAAATATTGTATAAGTGCCATTTCCGGGGAGCCTTCCAACGCTCTAAAAGTTAATGAGGTCTGTGATCAAAGTCAAGAGATTTAGAATAAGCGACATAAATATTTCTCTTGGGGATTCAGCGATATGGGGTGGGACCCGACAGATATTTTAATATTTATTTAAGGAAACAACTGGGTGAGGATCTTCGTGAATTGAAGGTCGTAGTATATGTACATCAAGAATTTTTAAAAATGTCCAGCTCTTGTTAGCACCTGCAGATCACTTATGTAGGCATTCGAAGCTTTATTGGGACTTTGACGTGCTTTTGATGATACGATTTCTGTAAACCCCTCGGTTGTAGAATATGCAGAACTTGTTTGAAACAGTAAAAGCCGGGTACGTGTGGCCATATAGTCGAAGATTGCTGTCATGCTGTGTAAAGACCGTGGAATCTTACAACCGTTTTTACCTTCGTTAGATTTCATTTATCCTACTTTCGTAATAGTAAGTCTAAATGCTATATTGGATTAACTCATTTGAATGCATATTGTACGCTGCTACAGACATTAGACAAAGTTCAGTTTTACATTTCATTTATGGTTGGATGTTCTTTCAAGTGTTTTTTTTTAATTTAATTGAAACTTTATTGTTTAATTGAAGCTTCTCTGGGAGATTCGTTGAAAACTCATTATGTAAAATTTGCTATTTTGTGTAATTATGCCACTGGTTTTAGTTAGGAAGGCTGTGAAATTAGTATTTCATTATGTATAGTGAATTGTAAAGCGGTTTGACTTGAGATATGAAAGTAGGTTAGGTTTTTGTATTGGAAAATTTAAAATAGAGGGTAATATAGAGGACTCTTGGGTTATGCATTTTGGCTGTTAAATTCTTGGACAACATGAAGTGCAAGCTTACTATTTTGGACAGTGTTTTAAGTTCTGTTCACTCTATATGCGATTTTAGAGCTAAGAATGAGTTTAATGATTTAAATAAGGGCAATAAGGTACCGGAAGGTAAGTTTATTTGGGAGATCAAGTAGGTGCATGATTTACTTTGTAACAGGATCTATACCACAGTATATTACATAGTCTTTTTTTATGCACAAACATCAGTTATTTATCACATTTAAAATTTAGACAAATGAATTTCAATTTTCAAAAGTCTATAAGGAAAAATAAATCTACATGGTAATTGTTTAAAACAATTGAATTTGCATCATTAAACAGTCCAAAGTCATAAATTTGTTTACTTTTATTAAGTAATGATATTATGTGTTATTAACAATATATAGAACTTACAGTTTTCTTTTAAAAGCTATGTAGACAAACTTAAGGGAAGACAGTTTCTTTGGAGTTAGAAGAGATGGATTTTTGTTCAGCAGAACTTTATAGGGGTTTTTACACCTTGGTGTTAAGGAATGTGGTTTTGACACAGTGAATTTTGGCTTTCAGGAGGCTAATTAAATTTCTGCATTTTCCCACAGCCTGAAAAGGGTCTCTTTTCATTATTTTGAATAGTTAGAAAAAAACAAACCACCAGTCAACATCTTTCTAGTTCCTCCTCAAATCCCACTGTCTTGTGTGTGTGTCTGTGTGTGTGTTCATTTCCTCTTGAGGTAATTTATATTTAAAGTTTTTTCCTAGTTGACTTTTATTTAAATATACAATTTATTTTAAGTTAAATTAACTGTTACTATTCTTAAAATTATATATTCGTTCCAGATGTATATCATAGAGGTTAGACAATTATATAATTTACCAAGTGATCCTCCAACACAGATTTGATGTGGTAGATTTTATTTAAAAGCCAGTCTTTGAAAATTTTGATATCTGAAATTTGATGTGTTCTGAGAGACTATCTTAGCTGAATTTTGGTGAGCTCTTTGGGTGGTATATACAAATTTGCAAAATAGCTACTATTTCTGTAAATCCACTTACTGGTTTTGTTTCATTTAAAATTTTAGACTGGTCATTTATACCAGTGATTTAAGAGAATGAACTTTGGTGATTTTAAGTTTTGGTTTGGACTTGTTAAAAAGAGGTAAATGGATAAACATAATCATTTTATTAAAGCACAACTATACTCTCCTAAATACTAAAAGAGAATTTGACTTATTAGTTGTTTCTTACATTTCTATTGAAGCTTTGCTTTTACATCATGCTTTTGCTAGGCTGTCCCATCACTTTTCTTTGTATTAACATTTCACAACTCATTGCATTCTTATTTTTATTATTTTTATTATAATGCTTTTTCTTTTTTTTTCTTTAATCTTATTATCTGTCTTTTAAAAACTTGTTCTCTAACTTTGTTTTCCATTTTCTCTTTTACTTTTTCCATACAGTGTTGTTACAGATCTTATAGCAGTCGGTTTAAAGGTAGGAATCTTTTACTATCCTTTAATAAGCATTTTTAAATTTTAGTTTTGGCATTTTTTTTCCAATGGTGAAATCATCTCACCTGTTCATAAAATGATATGTTTTATTGTCTGATAATAATCTCTTATTTTCACTTAGCTCCATACTAAGTGCTCTTATAGCTATTTTTGGATTTTACATATTTATTGAGAGGCCACAATATTATCTTGTGTATCTAAAATGTGAACAGAAAGTCTAGCCCAAAGTTTCACTTGAACTATCATAGTGTGTGTTTATTTTGTTTTGTTTTACCAGTTAAATGTAACCTAGGTTCAGATTTATTTTGCTATCGTGTCCTTTTTTTATATCTTCTCTTGGGTATGCTTATAAGTAATACAATTATAACAGCAGCTGTAGTTTCTTCAATTTCTACTATGTGCCAGCTGCTTTACATGTATTTTTACTAATTATTATAACAGTTCTTCAAGGTAGGTATTAATGTTCCCATTTTAGAGATGAAAAAATAGGTTCAGAAAATTTGTATTCAAGGCATAGTGCACCAGAGTTTAAACCCATGTCCTCCTGGCTCCAGAGCCTGGCTCTCCAGCCCACCCCCACCCCCCATTATACCTAGCTGCCAGTAATGAGGATTCTGTCTTAAAGGAGGAGAGCTGGATAGTTAATATTTCACAGTAACGCTTCTTCTAAGTTATAAGTCATTTTAGTTTTATCAAAGTCTTCTCATTTATTGGGTTCTAAAGTATAAATCAAGTCAGCAGTGTTCAACAACATGAGGCTTTTACAATATAAATGGGCGTTTTAAGGTTCCCTTTAGCTGGTGTTTGGTATAGCTGAGTTGAGAACTTGGTTCTAGAAGCCACTTACAGTTCAGATCAGTATAGAAAATAGAAAGAAATAATTCATAGTTTTATTATATGTGTCTTATATAACATTGTTACACTACGTTTTATCTATCATCTCTCTCGCTGTAGCAGTTTCCACACTTCCCCCATTTGCATTTATTGGGTCTGTTGGTGACATTTATATTCTTAAAACACCTTAAAAAATAAGCATAAGTACAGCATACAGCATTTGAGATTAACAATGGTATGTCCAAGATTATAATTGGGAACTCTTGCTTAAATTATCTTTCGAAGTTGGTGGAATTACTTGCTTTGGCAAATTTTGAGCATATTTTATAACTTGAAAATAAATGGAGGAGCCTCTTTTGGTGGGATGTTTCCCCCCAACCCCCCTTTGTTTTTTTCTGATATACTTAAGTCATTTTCTCATTTAGGGGTGATAGAGATTAGAAACTGCAGGAAGGAATATTTAAAGTGAATGTTGTTTTGGTCTTATCAGAAATGTAATTTATGATTCTAGAGCAGCCGTGGGCAAACTACGGCCCGGCCCACGGGCCGGATCCGGCCCGTTTGAAATGAATAAAACTAAAAAAAAAAAAAAGACCGTACCCTTTTATGTAA